CAACTCCTCCCATTTCCTCTCTCTCTCTAAACTCAATTAAAACACACACACAGCCGAAACCAGTTTGGCTCAGTGGTAGAGAGTCAGTCTGCGGACTGAAAGGTGCCAGGTTTGATTCCAGTCAAGGACATGTGCGTTGTTTGCGGGCACATCCCCGGTAGGGGGTGTGCAGGAGGCGGCTGGTTGATGTTTCTCTCTCATCGACGTATCTGGCTCTCTGTCCCTCTCTCCTCCTCTCTGTGAAAAAATAATAAAATATATATTTTTTTTAAAATAAATTAAATTAAATTAAATTAAACACACACACACATCTGAGACTCTCATCTGGCCCAGTAGCTCAACTGGTTAGAGATCCAGTTGTGGGTTTGTTCCCCAGTTAGGGTACATATAAGAATCAACCAATGGGAATCTCAGAGGGGGAAATTATGGGACATCTATAGAACAAAAGAATGAAAGAAAGAAAAAAAGAAAGAATCAACTAATGAATTCATAAATAAGTGGGACAACAAATCAATGTTTCTCTCTCTTCTTTCTCTAAATCAATCAATAGAGGTGTTTTTTTTTAAAGATCTGAGATTCTAAACACCCAAAAACATTTATTAAACATAGGTACATTCAGCACTGTGGTACACTCAGAACCACAGAGATGGAATCACCCATTCTCTCTTGCTCACACATGCCTTTATGCAGTAAGCTCCCTTCCTAAAACTTTTTTTCTCATTTCAAGCCTATCTTGAATATTCTTGAATATGTTAAAGTTTGTGATTTTTTCCCCCCAAGTTCATCTCTCTCCCAAGACATTCTTGGTGAACCCAAGACATCCCGCGTTTGCTTTCTGTACTGAAGAGCAGTCAAACCTGTTAGCTCCTGAACAAAGAACCTAGTGAAAAGATGAAACCAGGAGCTCCCTACTAAGGGTTAAGTCAGGGGGCACAGCACATTGTAGGAGGCTGACAGCATAGCTTGTGAATTCTGAAATGCAGAGTACATGAGAGGCGTCAGTTAGCAATAGCCATAGACCCTCATTATGAATCTGGGCCCAGTTAAACCACACTCTTTGGCAAATACATTTCTTCTCAGAGTTTACATCAATAAAGCTATTTAAAAACAAATGGGGTGGTGGAGAGAAACACAGAGGCCTCATGTGATATTGTAAATTTCCGGTTTGCCATCAGACAAGGAGGGGCTGGTATTCTTGTACAAGTCACTTGGAAATCTCAGAAGTAGAAACAATATTGCTCTCCCAGGATTCAAAAAATAGTGGAAATGTTGGTAAAGCATATGGCACTTGGCCAGGAATTCAATTTGGTGATGGGCAAGATGGAAGGAAAGTGGGCAGCCTGCAATCAACTTCAAGCCCTAGGCCTAGAGCATTTTGGATCTGTGACTTTAAGCAAGTCCCTTGCCTTCTCTGTGTCTCGGCTGCAGAGGGGATTAAATGACACAATCTATGTAACTATCTTATGCCAGGTACATGAGGAAAGAAGCTATCAGTGGCATTTCTCGGAAAGAACATGTTACAGAAAACCAAAGAAGAACAAAGCAATACTTAGAGAGATGGAGTAACATTTATTATGCCCAGGTCCAGAGGAAAATGTCTCTCAAATTCTGGGCCTCAACATGCAGGAATTTTCCTATTTACCTTGTTTCCCCGAAAATAAGACATCCTCCGAAAATAAGACCTAGCACATGGAAAGATAAGACATCCCCTGAAAATAAGACCTAGCGCAACTTTGGGAGAAAAAATTAATACAGTGGTGCCTCACACAACGAACTTAATTCGTTCCAGGAGCAAGTTTGTTATGCGAAAAGTTCGTTATGTGAAACGCGTTTTCCCATAACAATACATGTTAAAAAAATAATTCGTTCTGTAGCATAAAATATGCTAAGATGACATAAAAAAAGATAAATTTTTTGTTATTATTTTTATTTAGATACATCATGATATAAAAAAAATATTGAGTTTAACTTAAAAGGACGACTGCCGTGATACGTGCGTGATTTAATTCGTAATGAAGAACGATTGCCGCGATACGTGCTTAAGTTAAGCGCAGTGACTAACAACTGCCTGCAATGCCTGCGCAGAAGGATGCAATACATCGGGAGCAATCGTGGAAGCTCAGGCGAAGCAGTCGTGGAAGCTCGGGCAAAGCGGTCGTGGAAGCTCGGGCGACTTCGTTGTGTGAAACGAAGTTCGTTGTATGAATCATGAAATGAAGTTCGTTTGTGTGCAGCGTTCGCTGTGCGAGGCGTTCTTTATGCGAGGCACCACTGTATAAGACACTGTCTTATTTTCGGGGAAACAGGGTATATGTTTTTACCTTGTCTCTCAAATATGGAGTGTTTCCAGCCCCTTTCCAAGTTCTTAAAGAGCCCGTATGTACTGGGGCCTTAAGACCTCAACCAGAGGCCTGGCCTGGCACCAGCACTGATAACCTTGTCTGGGGAAGGTTTAATGGCCTCTCTGAAGTGGGAGTAGTCTTAGCAAGCAAGAATTTACCGAAGCCAAATAGCAGGGTTAAAATTTCAAACAGCAGTTTTCATATAAGATGGATGCTTCAAACAGAGGATGGTAGACTAACCCCATTGCCCCCAGGGCTGAGAGCTGGGGAAGCTGGGAGGCTCAGGAGCAGCAGCAAAACCAGCACCCAGAGCCGAAACCGGTTTAGCTCAATGGATAGAGCGTCGGCTTGGGGACTGAAAGGACCTGGGTTCGATTCCTGTCAAGGGCATGTACCTTGGTTGCAGGCATATCCCCAGTAGGGGGTGTGCAAGAGGCAACTGATCGATGACTCTCTCTCATCGATGTTTCTATCTCTCTCCCTTCCTCTCTGTACAAAATCAATAAAATATATTAAAAAAAAAAAAAAAAAAAAAAAAAGCCGCACCCAGAAACTCCATCAAACACCAGAACAGGTCAGCCATGTCACTGCTACCACCACAGCCACAGCCACCACCACCACCACCTCCCAGCCTGCCCCTAATTACATAATTCTTGATGAATTGGTTTAAGATTCCATTTGGAGAGAACCAAAATTATAATTAAGTCTTGGTTTGGTGACAAGGATCATAGTGTAACTCCATTTTGAGCCTATTGTCTTGTTTTTAGGAGCACACACACAATTTAGCTATACCTTTCAGGGATCTTCTATTATGAAAAAAAAAATAAAAAATATATAAAGAGAACAAAGCTAAATTAAATAAATTAGAAATAAAAATGCACCCTTTGCAAAGTTCTTGAAATGTTTTCTTGTTGCTGTTATTTAGCAATGTAACTATATATATATATATATATATATATATATATATATAACTTATTTCAGAGAGGAAGGGAGAAGTAGAGAGTGATAGAAACATCTATGATGAGAGAGAATCATTTATCAGCTACCTCTTGCACAACTCACACTGGGGATTGAGCTCACAACCCAGGCATATGCCCTGGCAGGGAATCCAATGCTGACTTCTCCGTTCATAGGTGGACACTCAACCACTGGGCGGAGAGTGAAGGCTCTTTTGAGCTGTTAATTGTATGTATTAGTTTTCAACAGTGGAAAACTAATAAAGTGGATTTTTGCACAAAGGAAAATCTCTGACTCAAACTGGCTTAACAAGCAAGAAATTTTATTTTCTCATACAACGGGAAATCCAGAAGTCCTTCAGACTTCAAATTGGTTTGATCAGAGGCTCCTTTTTTGTCTTCAAAGATCCAGACTCTTTGCAGCTCACCACTTCCCTACCCTCAGGGTAATTGCAAAATGGTTCCAGCAGTCTTAGGTGTCACATTCAGAAAAACCCTAAGGATATAAAGAGAGTGTTAATTCGTAAGGCATTCTCTTGAAGAATGAGGCACCCAATGACCCCGCTGCCCTTTGATCTGTCATTGTCTTCAGGAAGTGGTGATTGACAGGGTTGCAGAAGAGAGAAACAAAACAAAGTGAACCGAAGGTAGCTTTCTTTCTGCAAGCAGGGAAGCTCTTATTCCTTTTTGTCAAGGTCTTTCTGATTGTGATATTGGCTATGGATCTCAAAGTTCACCCAGTTCCCTGATCTCACCATCACCTGACAAACAGTGGCTAGCCAGTTTACGAGTTTCCTAGGATAGCTAGTCGTTTGGGGGTGGAGGATATTTGTCCTCTTACGGTGGAGAGAGGGAGACAGCAACAGAAAAGAGACCCTAGAAGGAAAAACTGTTGCGTCTGGAGCCATCCCAGCTTTCCCGGTACCCACTGGCCGCCTCCTCTGGCTTGCAGGCTCCAGGGAAGCACGTGGGCCAGCGTCCTGCGGGTAGCTGGCCAAGCACGGATTCCAGGAGCCCTCACCCCAGAACAGGTGCGCATCTTGCGCCGGCAGGAAGTGGGTGCGGGGAGGGATGAGGATGAGGATGCGGGGAAGGATGGGGATGCGGGGAGGAATGAGGATGAGGAATAGGATGCGGGGAGGGATGAGGATTAGGAGGTGCGAGGCACACCGCGGCCGCCGGGGGGCGAGAGCACCTCCGGTACTCGCCCGGCCCAGGAAGGAAAGGTGGTCGGCTTCCGAGGGGAAGCAGCGGCCGGGAGCGGGAGACCTGGACCCCGCCAGTCCCTGAGCTGCCAGCCTCCGCGCACCGCGTCCCCGCCCTCCCATCCCCATCCCCATCCCCATCCCCATCCCCACCCCCATCCGCTGGAGGCCCCCACCCCAACTTGCGCCCGCAGGGCGACCTGGACCCGCCAGCCGGGTCGGAGCGCGACCTCGGCTCCACGCCCACTCGAAATCCCTAACCCGCTCGCACCCCGAGGCCAGCGGGGAGGAAGGCCAGAGCACCAGACCCGCGGGCATCTGCGGGCGGGAGCCGCGCCCGGCATCCGGCCTCCCGGAACAATGGCCGGAGGGGCTGCGGGAGCCGCGGCGGGCGCGGCGGAGCCGGGGCGCCCGGGCGCTGGAAGCCCCGCCCCGCGGCCGGCGCCCTGACAACGCGGGCCGGGCCGCGCCGCCCGCTCCCGCCCCTCGGCGCCCGCACCAGGCGGGGCCGGGCCAGAGCGCCGCCGCCGCCGCCGCACCGCAGCTGCGAGCTCTGCAGAGCGGGGCCGGGGCCGCGGCCGGCGCCCTCCCTCCCGCCTCCTCCGCCCGCCGCTATGAGCCAGGGACGCCCGGGGGACTGCGCCCCCCTCGAGCCCACCGCCGGACCCTCAACGCCCCCCAACCCGTTCGTGCACGAGTTGCATCTCTCCCGCCTCCAGAGGATTAAGGTAAGTGCGGGTGTGGGACGCCGGGGAGACGCTTGGGGGGTTGGAGGAGAAAGCCATGGAGAGACCTGGCAAAGAAAATAGGGATGGGGTCCGAGAAGGACGTGCTGGAGAGGCTTGCGGGGCGGGAGTCGGGGTGCGCACGTGGGGGTGGCGGGGAGCTGAGCTCGGAGCCCCGGGGAGGACCCGGTCTGGAGCGGCAGACAGGCTCCGAGGTGTGGGAGGATTGGCTGGGTGGGGATGGAGGGCTGCCCGGGAGCCAGGGGTGGGGGAGATGGAGGGCGCGGGGGATGCGGATGGCATCCTGCGGAGGCCAAGAGGCTAGGAAGGAGGTGAAGGCTACGGAGAGCCCGGTTTGGGGGGCAGGGGCGTGCTGGAGGCTTCTCCGAGGCTCTGAATGAGAGGAAACGGGTTTCTGGGCCGCGAGTCTGCGCCCTTGTGCCCTTCCAACGCCCCCTCTTTCCCCTCCCCCCGCTCCCTGTACTGCAGCACCTCCGGGGCTGGGAGGGCTGAGGACGGGGTTGGCTACAGGAAGCGCGGGGTCGCACCAGCCTAGCGGAACTGAGAAGCGGCGTGGGGAGTGTCCTAGGTTTCTGCGGCCGTCACCTCCCCCGAGGCGAGCGCCTGGGGCTCGGTTTTGTTTACCTGCACCCTCCCTGGGGCAGCCCTTGGAGTCACCCTGCCTCCTGGCAACCCTTTATCCTTCGGAGGAAAGCTGAGCTCTTCTCTTCCCGGCCCCCCAGCCCCTCCTCTTTCCCCCCCCCCCCGCCCCCAGGACTAGGGGAGCGCTAGTGGACAGGCTAGAGACTGCCCTGCCGCCTGCAGAGGGGACCTCTGTGCGTTCCAACCCTCCATCTCCCAGGCCCAACAGGGAAGGAGACATCCTCCTGGTGTCTGTTGGACCTAGGAGCTATTTATGGAACGGGACGTGGGAGAGGAGGAACTATCTCCAGCCTACTGCACATCAAGCACTGTGCTGGGTGTGTTTCCGTAGGTTATCATTAAACACTCTCAACGGCCTCCCCGAGTTCTGGATGCATTGCATGGCATTCGATTGTCTAGGTGGGATGGAGACCATCTGAAAGATAGGGAAATGAGGCCCCCTCGGCCTAGTCATCTTTTATTCACTTGTTCTCACCCACCTTGGATGCCAACTCAGGCTCCTGTTTCTACACTGCTTGTCTCCTGGGCTACCCTGGGTAGTGGCTCTCTGCTCCTGGGTCCATCGTTGTGGGGAAAGGAAGCTTTGGAGGGAGCATCTCCCCGCCCTGAAGTGGCCTTCTCTCCCGCCCTCTGCAGTTCTGCCTCCTAGGGGCACTGCTGGCCCCCATCCGAGTGCTTCTGGCCTTTATCGTCCTCTTTCTCCTCTGGCCCTTTGCCTGGCTGCAAGTAGCTGGTCTTTCTGAGGAGCAGCTTCAGGAGCCACTGACAGGATGGAGGAAGTAAGTGGGGGGTTAGCTCCCGGACACCCTACTTCTCACTTGTTTCCTGTTGTTTATTGTGCTCCCTCAGGAGGGAGGGTTCTGAAGCTCTGATACCCGGCCTGGCAAGGTGAGAGGAGTCAGCCAGGCCCAGACCTGGTACCCGGGACCTCATCACTAAGCGATGTGCCCTGCGGTGCCCCAGAGCAGCTAGAGACTTTCCACCCTTTGGCCAGAGTAACAGAGGGCAAAGGAAGGGCACCTGCTTTCCCAGGCACCTACACCTGGGTGAGTGAGGGTCACGCTCCCTGCCTCCACTGATGCCCCACCTTGCCCTGCAGGACTGTGTGCCACAACGGGGTGCTGGGCCTCAGCCGCCTGCTCTTTTTCCTCCTGGGCTTCCTCCGGATCCGCGTTCGGGGCCAGCGGGCCTCTCGCCTCCAGGCCCCTGTCCTTGTTGCCGCCCCCCACTCGACTTTCTTTGACCCCATTGTCCTCCTGCCCTGTGACCTGCCCAAGGTTGTGTCCCGAGCGGAGAACCTTTCTGTGCCGGTCATTGGAGGTGAGAGAGTTTAAGGGGGTAAAGGGGAGAGATGACAACTATGGGGGGGTAGGGGGGAGGAGACAGGAATTAGATGGACACACTCTGGAGAGGAGAACTGACCTCACGGTTGCAGGGGAGAGTTAGAAGAGATTGATGTGGGCCAGTGAAATGCAAATTAACACCATTTGTGAACCCACTTCATCGTAGACTCTGAGGGCTGGGGCTTTAGGGAAGGTGTTGGAGGGAACTGCTGGTCAGTTCCCTAAAAGGGCAGCATACCCTAAAGGAGGATCCCCAGGACAGAGAGGTGACTAGGAAGCATCTCCTGCTGTTGAAGGCGGGGAGGTTGTGGGTGTCATTGTCCCCTGGTAGGAACCGAGTGACTCCTAGTATCCTCTCTGGACCTCAGCCCTTCTTCGCTTCAACCAAGCCATCCTCGTGTCCCGCCACGATCCGGCTTCTCGGCGCAAAGTGGTAGAGGAAGTCCGAAGGCGGGCTACCTCAGGAGGCAAGTGGCCCCAGGTGGGTAAGGGTCTGAAGACTCTCTCCTCTCGTTTAATGAGCTGCTACAGAGGCTTCTCTTTCCTCTTTCCTCTCTCCTCTCCTTCAGCCTACCCCACCTCATTCTGGTCCCTTGGGTTTTTTTTCCTCCAGGTTCTATTCTTTCCTGAGGGCACCTGTTCCAACAAGAAGGCTTTGCTTAAATTCAAACCAGGTGAATAAAATGACAGTGGGTGGCAGGGATAGAGGCAAAAGGAGCCTCAGTTTGGAAGAGGGACTCTGGAATAACCCGAGACGTGGACGGGTGGGGGAGGATCGGGAGACAGGAAACCGCCCAGCTGACCCTGAAAAGTCTCCAGAAGTCAGAGAGAAGATTATAAATGAAATGGGACAGAGCCAGATCTCCTTTGAGCACTGTCCCAGACCCCTGCACTCACGCCCTCCGGCTGCCTCTGTGGACTAACCTCTGCCTGGGGGGGTGGGGGTGGAAATGGGACTTAGGAGCTTTCATCGCAGGGGTCCCTGTGCAGCCCATCCTCATCCGCTACCCCAACAGCCTGGTGAGTCTCGGCCTGAGAGAGGGGGATGAGGGAGCATGAATTCACCCAAATGGGTGAAAACTGTCAGTACCGTGATGGGTTGTGCACGTGGTGGGTGGGGCCAGGGTGGGTCCCGGCCTCTCTGCTCAGAGAGGATTGGCCAGTTCCAAGGAAGAAAATAATGCCTTTCTCCCCTCACCTCTGTTTCTCCCATAGGACACCACCAGCTGGGCATGGAGGGGCCCCGGAGTGTGAGTTCTGGTGGTCCCTGGGTGAGGGTGGGGAGCAGGGTCTATCAGACAACTCCTGGCCCATCTTCCAATCTCCAGACAAGGCCAGGGGCCCTTCGTTCTTGGCTAAGAGCATCCTAGGGAAGATGCTTGTTTCCCTCTGTTTTGTCCTGCTCTCCCAATGTGATCTGGAAGTGCTTGGAGCTCTCCACATCATCATCTATGCTGTGATCGCAGCTCCTTTTCACTTCCCTGTTCCTCAGTGATTTTCTCCTCCACTCTTTCCTTCCTGAGAACCACCATCGTGAGGCTTGCCTCTTGCCCTTTTCCCTATTATTCACACCTCTTCCCGCCCGCAGTCCTTCCTCTGGCACAGCCCTGAAGAGCCAAGCCTCTCGCTTTCCCTCCCGCTTTTCTGGCCCTTCCCTGTCTCCCAACACACTTGCAAAGCTGACTGTATGGCTAGGAGTCCATCTTTATATCAGTGAGCAGAAATAACCCACTCCCCTCTGCCTGGTGGGAGGAGCACACGGTGAGAAATTAGTGAGCGTCTGAAATCTCTCTTGTCTTAGACTGAAAGTCCTCTGGCTCACAGCCTCTCAGCCCTGCAGCATCGTAGATGTGGAGGTATGGCCCCCGTGGTGGGTTGGGAGAGTGGACGAGCCCTGACCCCTGAAGCTTTTGGGAAAGAGATGGAGTGGTCACCTGGCTTGGAGATCCTGATGGGAAGTGTGTGTGTATATTTCAGTTCCTCCCTGTGTACCATCCCAGCCCAGAGGAGAGCAGGGACCCCACCCTGTATGCCAACAATGTCCAGAGGGTCATGGCACAGTGAGTGTTCTACAAAGAATTTCCTGGAGCAGATATACAGGGCAAAGGGATCACAGAGGGGGTGGAGGGCTGAGGTTTTGAGTCAGAAATGGGGGAAAGGGCTGAGACAGGGTGGATGGGGGTAAAAGGAGCCTAAGTCCTCTCCCTAGTTGTTAGGTCAGCCAGTAATGAACCCCTAAAAAATTCTTCTGCCTCATCTCCCCACCCCCGTCCCCATTCCATCCCTCTTCATCCTATAGGGCCCTGGGCATTCCAGCCACCGAGTGCGAGTTTGTAGGGAGCTTGCCTGTGATTGTGGTGGGCCGGCTGAAGGTGGCATTTGAGCCACAGCTCTGGGAACTGGGAAAGGTTCTTCGAAAGGCTGGGTAAGTGACCTTGGTGATAACGAGTGGTCAGTGTCATGTACACTAGTAGACAGAAAAAGAGTAAGAAGAAATGGGAAGGAGGAAGGAAAGCCTTTAAAAAAAAAAAAGTGGCCCTGACTGGTTGGGCTCAGTGGATAGAGTGTCAGCCTGCAGACTGAAGAGTCCCAGGTTCTGTTCCGATCAAGGGCATGTACCTTGGTTGCGGGCAATCCCCAGTAAGGGGTATGTAGGAGGCAGCTAATGGATGTTTCTCTCTCATCAATGTTTCTAACTATCCCTCTCCCTTCCTCTCTGTAAAAAAAAATCAATAATATATATATATTTTATTATTATTATTTTTTTTTTTAAGTGGTAAGATAGAAGAGTTTTTTAAAAGATAGTGGAGGAAAAAGAAAGGGGAAGATAAGCAATTGCCCGAGTGAAGAAAAAAAAGTAAGAATAGCTCTCAAGGGAGTTTGAGTCAGAGTATATCTTAGAAAAACACCAGGTGTACCAACACTGGAAAACTCTTGGGGCTGGACCCAAGGTCCTGCTGGGTGGTGTGCCAGAAAGAAACTGAGTCAGCTCTCTGCCTTCAACAATTCCATTGCAGGCTGTCCCCTGGCTACGTGGACACTGGGGCAGAGCCAGGCCGGAGTCGAATGATCAACCAGGATGAGTTTGCTAGGCAGCTCCAACTCTCTGACCCTCAGACTGTGGCCGGTGCCTTTAGCTACTTCCAGAAGGTAAAGGAACCAGGGTGGATGAAGGGCGCAGAGCTCAGCATTTAAGGATGTCATCTGAGTGGCCACGTCAGTCCCATTAGATGACCAATTTGGAGTCTGTGCTGGATGTTCTAACCGCTGTTGTCAGATGGCCAATTGCCGAGGTCCTCTGGGAAATTTTTTTTTTTTTTTTTTTTTGAGTATCCAGTACGTCACAGAGCAATGTTTTAATCCTTGTGAGGTCGAACAACGGAGGAATTATTGGTCAGTGAGATCCATACATTTCCAAAGCCACTTTTAGAGATTGGCAAAGGCACGGGATCACATGACCTTGAAAGTCAGTCACTGCGTGAGGGTTTCAGAGAAGAGGCATGAAGGTTGTTGGGTGGGAAGGTGACATGGAGGAGTCAGCACTGGACAGGTCAGATAGTTCAGAGTTTGAAACCCAGGAGTATTTGCTATATTTGAGCAGATTTTTAAGAATATCCCACAGCTTCTCTTGGGAATCTCTGAATTTTCTTGAGAATTTTTGACAAACCAGATTATTTCCCGGGGCTTTACCAGGTTTTTCCGTTGAATTATAATAAGGTTGTCCCAGAAGATTCTTAATGTTTATGAACAACTACCAGTGGTCCTCAGGAGCTCTTTCTTTATCTAAGATGGAGACTGTGGCTCTCCACACCCTCTGAAGGGACAGAGTGTGACCAGGTGTGTTGAAACCTAAGATCAGACAGACAGTCCCTGGAAGGAGCACCTCCCCTTCGCCTGTGGCAGAACGGAACCAAAGCCCAAATGCCATGGCTCCCCCTAGAGGTGGCAGGCATCCTTCTCGGTCTTTTTGTAAGAAATTATGCCAGTGGCCCCCTTTTAGTCTGTTGGACCAGTTCTCCCACACAGAATGAGTCCGGAGAGAATCAGTTTGACAGAGTGCTGTGTCACCAGGTGACTTGGGGTAGACCTTGAGCACACCCATGTCCTGAGAGAACTATCAGGGCTCCTGGAGAGGTTAGAACTCTGGGTTCTCGGGGAAGTGGACGCAGGAGTCACCCCTGTGCCTGCTGAGAAGAGGGAGGATGCAGGGTCGGTCCCCCACATCGCCCTCGTTTCTCTTTCACACTCCAGGACGCCAACGGTTTGGTGGACTTCCGAGATGTGGCCCTTGCGCTGGCAGCTCTGGATAGGGGCACAGGCCTAGAGGAGCTGACTCGCCTGGCCTTTGAGGTACCCGGGGGAGTGGGGGGGGGGGGGGGGTTTGGACATGGCAGCTGTGCTCCCCCACCCAGAAGCCTGTGTGGTATCCTATTACCAGTAGCTTCTAGATAGCTGGTGCTTGGTATCCAGCCCTGTGCCACACTGTGAACTGCAGAGCTCCGGTGTCTGTACGTTGAGGCTTAGCTGGGAACAGGAGGAGAAGACAGCAGCTGTGAGGTTAAATTCTCCTGCAGAAAGGACCCAGGGGCCAGGGAGGGCCTGAGTTTTGCATTCTTGGAAGAGGAGGAGCCTGTCCGGAGAGAGAGTACGGAGGTGATGGCATGAAGAGAGGGCTTGACCTGTGTCCCCTTCTCTACCAGCTGTTTGCCGAGGAGCAAGCAGAGGGGCCCGGTCGCCTGCTGTGCAGAGACGGCTTCAGCACCATCCTGCGCCTGCTGCTGGGGTCGCCCCGCCCTGCTGCCGAGACTTTGCATGCAGAGCTGTGCCAGGCGGGACCCCACCACGGCCTCTCCCTCTGTGAGTCACACTCTTCTCAGCCCACGTGAACATTCGGGGCACCTTCAGCACTGGGCTGGAGGGAACAAGGGCACCTTCAGCGCTGGGCCGGGAGGGAACAAGAGCTGGTTGGTGGCTAGTGCCAGGGAACAGAACATCTGAGAGGTGAGAATGGAAGGGATTGGCTAGAAGGCTGATTTGAGGAACGAAGCAGAGGTGAGAGTGACAAAACATACTGAGAAAAGAGCAGGGCACCCACTTCCGCGCCTCCTTAGATAATTTTACTTTCCGCATCTCCCAATTGTCTATCCAGGTCAGTTCCAGGACTTCTCTCTCCGTGACCCACTCCACGGGAAGCTCTTCAGCACCTACCTGCGCCCTTCCCAGACACCAAACGCCTCCTCCCCAGGCAGCTGCGCCGTGCTGGCCAATGGGACTGTGCACTCACCCAAGCAGAAGGGCGACTGAGTCCCTCCACCTCCCCAGCTTGCATTCTGGCCCACAGATTCAAGACAGCGCCAGGGGCCGACCCTGGGCCTCAAGCCCTCTCTGCTCCTGCTTGATTTTTTGTTATTGTTTGGTTTTTTGTTTGTTTTTTTAAGTTGATTTTCATTTTTTTTTGTTTGTTTGGGGTTTTTTGTAAGAAACTATTTTATATATAAATATAAATATATATCTATATCTATTTAAAAAATATGAAGCTCGGTCACATTGATGGTATCATTAGCTGGGAAGGAAAGGGATTATTAGTTGCCGGCTGGCCATTGGATAATCCCAAAGGTTCCCCAGGTTAGTCCTATGGGCCAGAGCTGGGTGGATCTTCACTTGCAATTGAACATGGTGCTTTTCTGCACAGAAATCTTGCAATTCTCGTGTCCTTTCCTCCTGTTGTCATGCCCTGTGTGTGCACATTTTAACAGGCTTACTCATGAACCTCTTTTCAGCCTATTCCCTCTTGTTCTGTCCTCGTTAGAGATTAAAAAATAGCTAACTGCCATTCCATATTTAATAATCCTACTGAGATTGATGCCTCCTCTCTGTAGCTCAGACCAACCACACAAGAGGGTTTTCTGCCATGGGATTGAATTGAGGACACTTCAGTCCCTTCTGTCCACCCTCTTTTCAAGGAAGAAGAAAATAAGGCCCTCCTATAGAGGTGCATTCCAGACACAGTTGTGGGAAAATTATATTTTAAAACTTAAATACCTATCCCAGGTTTTTTATTTTTTTTAATATATTTTATTGATTTTTTACAGAGAGGAAGAGAGAGGGATAGAAAGTTAGAAACATCGATGAGAGAGAAGCATCGATCAGCTGCTGCTTGTACACCTCCCACTGGGGATCTGCCGGCAACCAAGGTACATGCCCTTGACCGGAATCTTACCTGGGACCTTTCAGTCCGCAGGCCGATGCTCTATCCACTGAGCCAAACCGGTTTCGGCTATCCCAGGTTTTTTAAAGAATATCTTTCATATATATGTGTGTGTGTGTTTAGTGATGTCAGGAAGAGAGAAACATCAAAGAGGAAAGAGAATCATCAATTAGCTGCCTCCTGCACGCCCCCTACTGGTGATTCAGCCCATAACTCAGGCATGTGCCCTGACCAGGAATTGAACCACGACCTGGTTCATGGGTAGATGTTCAACCACTGAGCCATACCAGTGGCATCTTTCCATATAGACTTCTGTGGGGGGGTTTTTGTAATCCCTCTTTTGTTTTGATCCTTACCTTTATCTGAGGATTATTTTTTCCATTGATTTTTTTTTTAGAGAGTAAAGAAGAGGAGGAGAGAGAAACATCTATGTGTGACACATCTATTGATTGCCTCCCATTTGCACCCTGACTACTGGACTGAGGATGGAACCTACAACCCAGGTACATGCCCTTGACTGGGAATTGAACACGAAACCCTTCAGTGTGTGAGCTGACATTCTAACCGCTGAGCATATCAACTTGGGCTCCATGTAGACTTTTAAAGGGAAACAATGACAGGCTGCCCAGAGAAAACCTCCACAAATACCCACATCCGGGCCTATGATGGGGAGGGATGAAGTCACAGGGGCTTCTCAGTGCTGGGGCCTATCAGAGAGCCTGTGTAAGGCTAACGGCAGGAAAGGTGTCAATCTGTAGAGTCCAAGGCCCTCCCACCTTTCTTTACAGCATCTTACCCCATCTAGGAGCCAAGAAGTGAATACAAATGAGCACACGGAGAGTTATTTTCTAACAAAAAAAAAAGGTCTTTATTCATTTTGTTCCAATACAACTCCTTCGAAGGTACTCCGCCCTCGCCTCCCACCAGGACACCTCCAACCTGGCTGGTGTGACCTCCCTCCCCACACTAACCACTTTTTCAGAAAAACAAAACAAAGGACTGAGAACAGGTCTCTGTGTGCAACTGGGGTGAAATCTATTCAAGGGGCCCTGGCTTCAGGGACTGGCAGGAGGGATAGGAAGGTCCTGCTGCTCCCTACTGGCACCGGCGCCGTTTCTTCCTTCTGCCTGCGCCCAAGCTGTCACGCCTTCTCTTACGGGGCTGCGAGGGTGTCTCCCCAGAGACGGCAAGTTCAGCTCCCAGGTAGGGCCTCTTTCCAGCAGGTACTGGCCCTGCAACTAGAGCTCGCTTCCTAGACTTAGCAACAGGATATGGAGGCTGGCCGGGGCCTCCTCTCTCAGCGGAGAGGGAGCGGGATGCTCTCTGGAGCCCCTGACCTCCCGTGGAGGACAAGCCTGGAGCAGGGTGAGGACCAAGAGGAGGCCGCCTTGACGACAGGCTTAGTTTAGAGGCCAAGAGGTAGGCAAAGTCAGAGAGTTCCTCGTCTTCCTCATCCTCCTCCTCCTCCTCTTCCTCCTCCTCCTCCTCCTGTCCTTTGGCTCCACCTGCTGTGCTGTGTGCTCCTCTAACAGGAGAGGCTTCCTTCAGAACTGAGGCATCCCTGGCTCCCCATCGAGGGGAAGTTCTTGCCAGGCCCCGGGAAGATGTGAGCTTGGGAGTCCCATGTGCATAAGACTCTTGATTCCCTAGAAAGGGATCAAGGTCTTTTGAATTCAGTAAGTCAGTGTCCTCCCTGCCCTCTCCTTGGGGGTGGTAACTGAAATGTAGTGGGCAGGTATCCTCACTGACCCCTAACTGGAGGCCACAGCCATCTCTAACATCTAGTATATGGCTGTCAACGGTGGTTCCCAGCAGAGAAATGGAACTGCCTCTGTTCCCTGCCTCTTGATTGGCCTCGGGGAAGGTGGAGGCATCCTGGGTCCCCAGGAGAATGACATTGCCTGGACAAGCAGGCAGGAGGGTTTCTTTGGAAACCAGTGTGGAGGCATCAATACTGCCTTCCAGCAAAGGGGAGCAAGCTTGAGCCCACAGATCGCTGAGATCCTGTAGGGTCTCAGGACTCTGTTCCCTGTTTCCTCTAGGCCTCAAGGCTAGGCTATAGTTCCTCTTGTCTAGGGCAGCTGTGGCACCTGTGCCTCCACAGGGAATTGGACTGCTCCCCAGACCCCCAGGTGCTGTGGTTTCTCTTAGACCCAGGGCCTGGCAGCCTCCCTGGTGCTCGAGTACACATTCCCCGTCATCCTGGAAGGTCTCTGTGACCTCGATTTGTAAGGGCAACTCTAAGCCTACTTCATCCATCTCACTGCTGAGCCAAAGTCCTGGACTGAAAGAGGCCCCGTCCTCATCCTTGTCCTCAGCTGCTCTAGGGGAAGGGCTCTGGTCAAAACTCTGAAGCACAGGACTTATGTCACCTCCCCACATGACTCCGGAGCAGCCTTCCTGGGGCTCTGCTAGCAGCTCCTGCCCTTGATACATCACTCCAACACCCCCTGCCTGCTGTCCTATCTGCAGCCCCGGTTCCTGCAGAGGAACCAGCTCTGGCCCTGCGAGCACAGCTTCCAAGCTGGGAACTATCTCGAGCTGGGGATCTTCCTGCCAGCAAAGGGACAGAGCCTCCGAAGTCCCATCAGCCACCAGGGAGTGCCCCGGGGACCCAGCACCTCCCACGTGGTCACCTGGCTGTGGGAATATTTGGTTTGGAACCTTTCCAGGTCCTCTCTCTGCACCTCGAGTTCCCTGTGGAGATGCAAGTTCTATGTGCAAGTCCCAGCTGCTGGGAGGTGTCAGCGTGTTCCCATCCCTGCACATGCCCCTTGGGCCATCGAGGGCCCGTTCCTGCCCACTATGCACCTCTCTTGCTCGCTTTCCTGGAGAAGCAGATTTCCCAAGGCACACTGTGCCCCCAGCCACCTGATGCCCAGGGGAAGGCCGAAGCCGTCCACCCCCATCTTCATCCTCATCGGAAACAGAAGCACTTGAGTCCAATTGAGCTCCAGTGCAACTTGGAGCTGCCTCTGCATCCTCTTCCTCCTCCAGGGCCAGGAGTCGCTTCTGAACCAGCTGGAAGGAGAATGGACACATAGCATGCTACACGTGGCTGTGAGAGGGGTGGCTGCGTGGATGGGCAGGGCAGAGGATGCAAGCAAGTGGCTTACGCGATAGTATTAAAGACCGATGCCATAGCTCTCTTCTGCCTTCTTAGGCCTTAGTCCCAGCTTTGAGCCCTTACACTTCCCTTTTCCTGCATGTCCACAGTCCCTTACCTACTGTTCACTACCCGTAGCCCTCTCTGGAAGCTGTTTGCCTCCAGAAGTCATAACCATCCGAGACAGTGTAGGTTTAGCTAACAGCACGCAAGCTTCCTGTTCTGATACCCCCGAACCCCTCAGGTTTACCTGGGCAAGACTGAGTCCCTCTTCTTGCTCCAGCTCCTCGATTAAAGCCAAAGGGTCTTTCTGTTGTTCTGGGGACAGTAAATCTGCCAGAAACTGAGGGTGAATGACGGCCTCCACCTGGGCAGCAGAAGGAAAAGTGATGTGAGTCTGACAGGAGGTAACTCGTGAGCCAAGAGGCTCTAGAGTAGCCATAGTGCCCTTCCCCCTCCCCCCCAGGTTATCAGCCATGACCACCAACCACTTGTATACACATTCACATGCGTGCATACACGCATATGAATTGCTCAGTACAGAACAGAGGAGCCTGGGGCAGAACCCTAGATCTTCCGTTCCCTGGAGCTCCCACCCCAGGATCTGCTAGGAAGCAGATATCCAGGCCGGGCCCCACCTTGGAGACAAAGACCTCCTGAGAACACAGCTCATCGATGTAGCTCAGAAGATCTGGGTCTGGATACATCCCGTCCTCCTCCTGCCGCTGCTCATCCTCTTGCAGTCTTCCGTCGGACTCCCCCGGGGCCAGGTGGCTCCCCACCAGCCCTTCCATGATGTCGGCATACTCTTTCACAGCTTCTGGGGGGATTTCCTTGGGAGCCTCAGGCACTGGGGGTCTCTGGGTTTTGCGCTGCCGTCGGCGGGGGGTCCGCGCCTTGGAGGCTGCCTTCTTGGGAATGTACACTAAGGGGAGAGATGCAAAGGGGGGCGTGGACAGTGGCACAGAGACTACAGCTTCTGCCTCCCAGCCCCATGGGAGAGCACAATGGCTCCAGGCTGGATACGGCCACCCCAAAAAGTACCAGCCATGGGAAAAGATCGAGGAGCTGCAAGGTCTGAGAGAGAGCCACTGTCTGAAGAATCTTGGAAACCCTGAAATTCCAAGAAGTCCCTACTCCAGGCCCCATGTCTTAGGCAGTGAGGTATTATGGGCTGCACTCACAGCCTCCGTGAGAGAGTAGTTGGTTTACTTGGCCAAGAT